AAGGGGGCCGGGGTTTTAGCTTAGTAGTTCCGCTGCCTGCCTCACAAGTGCAAGGACCCGAGTTCAATCCCCAGTACCAAAAAAAAAACAAAGAAGAAGAGGAAACTGAGGCAATGATGGGTTAACTGGGCCAAAGTAACATAGCGAGTAAGTTATATAGCCAAGATTCACACTGAGGCAATCAGCCTTAAAATCTGTGGGTTTTAACTACGTAATTATATACTACATATAAATACATACATATAAAATGTGTATTGTAATATAAAAATTTAAAGGACTATCTGACTTGCATTTTTGTAGAAAACTTTTTCTCTAAAGAAACTTATCAATAACCCAAATAATGTTCTTAAATTAAATGGGTAAATGAAGGCCTTTTTGAGTTCACTTTAGAAGAGATACACAGACTTCCCAGGCTCCTTTCCTTCCTCTTGACCTTTCTGTGACCTCAGAACACATCCACCAAACTCTAAAATTTCATGGAATAGTTAAAAAAACTATTTACTAGCTGACCATGGAGTCATATGCCTGTAATCACAGCACTGAGGAGGCTAAGGCAGGAGGATTGCCCCAAGTTTGAGGCCAGCCTGTACTTACACAGTGAGTTCAAGGCCAGCCTGAGCTACATAACAAGACCTTGTCTAAACAAACAAACAAACAAACAAACTATTTAATTAGAAAGATGATAGTCTCTTTTTATTTTCATCTTATAATTCATTCTGCATTTTTTAGTTGTTTTTAGGGTTTTTGTTTTGTCAGTTGGTTTGGGGTTTATAATGTTTGTGGGTTTTGTTATTATTGATTTTGTTGTGAGTTGTGGTATTAGGGATTGAACCCAGGGAGTTATACTGAGTTATAACTGAGTTATACTCAGCCCTTTTCATTTTTTAATTGTGTGACAGGGTTTCACTAAGTTGCCCAGATTATCCTTGAATTTATGATCCTCATGCTTCAGTCTCCCAAGTAGCTGGCCTTACAGTATTTCCCATTTGTTTATGTTTACTTTTTTAACTTGTTGAGCTTGATTCTTCCCTTTCAGGTGTGCTCTCTGGTGCTAAGAGGGTATGGAGGGAGAGATCAGTGATCTTCTGCACAAAGAGAACTTCATCCTTGCCTCTTGTAAACTTTTCTTTCATAGCCTTGCAACCAACTTCTAACTGTGGAACAGATGATCAAAATTTTTAGTGTATTTTTCAAATTAAACTTTGAACTTATACAAAAGCTTTATCCAATCTGTATGTGTGAAAGAAGAACTTAACCCTATGTAGAAGGATAGACTTTGGAAGCAAGCTGAGTTAGACTGTGTGTCAGTAATGCCATTAACTAGTATTTAACCATGTGTAATTCACTTACCTTTTCAGTTTCTTCATGTATAAAGTGGAAATAATATCTACTTTACAGTTTATAGTTATATAATATATATAAATACCTTACAAATAATTGTAATCAGTGAATGGTACTTTTTAAAATTATTTCCAAATAATATTATTGCATATAAGGTCATTTTTATTAACATTACTTGCCATTTAGTAGAAGGATGTTTCATTTATATAGAATAATTTTTTCCTCTTGACTGTATTATAGGAGAGTACTATCATATGCTTCTTGAAAGTAATTCCTCTTGCACATAAGTATCAAAATATATCAGTAAACTGCCTCAATTTACATTATTGGTGGCACTGCATATGGATATTATACTAAACAAAACTAAATATTTTATTATTTATTCAACCACTACATTTTTACTGGTACTGGATGTGTGAAACATATGATTATATACTATTTTCTTCTATGTTTAATGATTTTAGATGAATTAGTGAATAAAATGAATATAGGAAATGAGTATAAAATTATTGGAATTCCAGCCTGCGTCAAAAGCTCACAAACTGCTATCTGTATAGAAGCAAACAGCATCATTCTTTGCAATCCAAAAGGTAAGGAAATCATATATTGACAAACATTTAAATTTCAATCAATTCATTTAGCAAATAAATATTGTTTGTATTTGTGCTGGACACTCTTCTGAGCACTCCAGATATAGGACAGTCAAGTTTCTACTCTTACGTAGTAGGTGGTCAATCATGTAGTAGGTGATATAAATAATCAATGCTATCATTTCTGACAATAAATGTCACGGAGAAAATAAAACATAGATAATGTTGTACAGCTTTGCTGCCTGGCAAGACTCCTTTCTTTGAGTTAAATATCATTTTGAAGCCAGGAATGTGCTTGTGGTCCCAGTTACATGGGAGCTGAGACACAAGGATCACTTAAGCCCAGGAGTTTGAGGCCAGCCTAGCCAACATGATGAGAACCCTGACCATCTAAAAGAATAAATGATAATAATAATAATAAATGTAAATATTATTTTGATTTTTATAATTAACAATTAGAAGAATTTTGTTTGTTTGTTTTGGGGGGGGGGTTTTTTGGTACCGGGGATCGATCTCAGGCCCTTGCGCTTGTGCAGCAGGCAGTGAAACCAGTGAGCTAAATCCCCGACCCTAATTAGAAGAATTTTTCAGGATGCCAAGAGTTAGAGATTACTCAGAGTTTTTCTATAGCACCTTTTCTTCTTTTTCTAAAAATGTGGAACACTTCACAAATTTGCATGTCCTCCTTACACAGGAAATATGCTAACCTTTTCTATATTGTTCCATTTTCACTGTATGTGCGCTGAAACAAGCACAGTACCTTTTATTTGCTAGCTAAGGCAGTTCAAAGTGACTGTTGTGGTTTGAGAGTTTAATAAAATATCACCTTTTCTTCTCTAAGTTCTTTTTTAAAAAGTTTTTATTTTTTATTAGTACATGTTTGCAGTACATAATGATTACAGCTCTTGTAGGGAGTTAGTACATGTACGTGACACTTCTTAATTCTTTTTTTAATCTCATTCACCTGCCCTCCCCCCTCCATCTCTTGATCCTCTTCCCATTTGAGAAAGATCTATGTCCCTATTTCCTATTATCTATCTTTTATTTTGCTCTTAATTTCTGTTTTTCTTAATTTATATTTCTCATATAAGAGAAACCATGTGATTTTTATTTTTTTATTTTTTTGGTACTGGGGATCAAACTCAGGACCTTGCGTTTGTGAGGCAGGCAACGGAACCACTGAGCTAAATCCCTGGCCAACCATGTGATATTTAAGCTTATGTGACTGATTAATTTTACTTAACATTATGGTCTCAAGGTGCATCCATTTTCCTATAAATGACTCATTTATTCTTCTTTATGGCAGAGTGGTACTGCATTGTGTGTAAATACCACATTTTCTTTATCAGTTCATCTTTTGGTGGACATATAGGCTGCTTCCAAGATTTAGCTGTTATGAGTTGTACTGCTAAAAACAGTACCACTGTAAACAGTACTATAAACAGTACATGGGTTTCTGTGTATCACTGTAATATGATATTGTCTAACTCTTTTGGGAAGATACCTAGATGGAGAGCAGCTGAATCAAGTGAAATTTTTAGTTTTAGTTTATTGAAGAATCTCCATACTAATTTCCATAGTGGTTGTACTAATTTACATTCCCACCAACAATGTACTCATCTGAGTTCTGAAATAAAAAATCAGACAACAGATAAAGGTAGATGGGGGAGACAGAATATCACCTTTATTACTAAAAGTTCTCTTTAACAACTCCAACGTAAGTTAGCATTACATAAACAAAAGTAGACCTACTCTTTTAACTTAGTTCACAAATATCTAAATGAGGGAAAGGCTGGTTAATTCTTGATTACAGTAGAATTTTGTGTAATTAAAATGCAAGTGGATTCTAGATATCTCTGCTTATTTTGGAGACAAACCACTTGTTTATTTGTTTATTTTTATTCCAGTACTAGGGGTAGAACCTAAGGGTGCTTTACCACTGAGCTACTCTGCTAGCCCCTTTTCACTTTTATTTTGAGACAGAGTCTCACTAAGTTGCACAAGCTGGCCTCAAACTTGTGATTCTCGTACCTCAGCCTCCCAAGTGCTGGCACTATAGGCATGTGCCACTGAGCCTGGCCTTTTTTTAAGTGAACAAAAATATTGAATAAAGCAACCATTGATGGACCACAGATAGTTTAGTGATCTTTTTATATTTTCCAGAGTTAAAAGTTTCATGATTTATTGATCTAGTAGCATAACACAACTTAGATGTAGGTGCAAAAATCTGCTTTCTTATGTTGACCTCCATATTAAAGCAGATTTAACCATTCAAATGTAGCAGGAGCTAGACTAAGGCAGACCTCCTTCAGTCTGTGAGCATGGGTGAATAGAGGAAGCTATGATGTAATCTATAATTGCAGGCCAAGTGGAAGAAGGAAAGAATTGAGTTATTTATGCACAGCTATTTTTCCCAAAACTGACTATTGGATAAATCACTTATGGTATTAGTCAGCTTTTCATCTCTGTGACCAAATACCTAGGAAAAACAATGTTTTGGCTCACAGTTTCAGAGGTTTCAGTCCATGGTTGACTAGTTTCATTGCTTTTAGGTCTGTAATAAGAAAAATCATGCAAAAAGTTGTGGCAAAGGAAAGCTCCTCACTTTGTGGGAGCCAGGAAGCAGAGAAAAAGGGAAAGAACCAGAGAAGAAGGGGCCTGGAGCAAGATATACCCTTCAAAATCATGCTTGTGGTGATCTACTAACTCCAACTGGGCCCTGCACCTCCTAATATCCCATTTAGCTATGAACTTTTCAGTGGATTAACCCACTGATGAGGTTAGCACCCTCGTAATCGAGTCACCTCTCTAGGCTCCACTTGAAACATTGCTGCATTGAGGATAAGCTCTTAATATAAAAGTTTTGGGGGAATACTTCATATTTAAACCAGAACACTTATCCTTTTCAGGAATTGGAGAAAGTGAGTGAATAGAGAAGATCTAGAATGTTACAGTGTAGTTCAGTACTGTGATTTTAGAGTAGAGTACAAATGATTCCTTTTAAACTACAGCATTGCAATACTTCCCATTCTTCTCATTAGTTCTTTTTTTTTTCTTCTCATTAGTTCTTACTTAAGGTAATATTATTTCAAACATAGAAATACAGGAGCAAATACAATAAGCAGTCTGGCTTGCTTATACTGGTCTTAAAAGGAGATTTGCCTTCAACCCATAGCCAATCTATATGGGCATATTAAGTGACTATTTCTTATTATTAACATGCCTTGAGATAGAAATGACAGCGAAGCATGCCCTCCAATCATAATTTAATTTCATAAAATTTGAATAGTCTAGCTTTTGAACTATAATTTGATAATATCTTAGATAAGTAGAATCAAATACTTATAATACTATTTTTGATATTTACTTTCAGTTTCTTCAGGAATTAGTGAAAACTTCAATTGTCTCCTCTCCTTAACTTCTGGTTCATGCTGGAAATTTACAGCAATACTTGCCAATATCTTTGCATCACAAATTGTTCCTCCAGGGACTTACAATTTGCTCAAGCTCTGTTTGTTGATGAGTCTAGTACAGACAAGTGATTCTAAGAAGGAACTAGAAAATTCCCTGGATATTTTAATTATAACAAGTGATACTCTACTTGTAGAAAGGTAAAATATATGCCATGATTTTTTTGAAGTATAAATTGGTCACAGAATTGCATAAGTATGTCCCATTAGTATTATTACAATATGAAGTTTTAGAATTTAATCTGAGAACTGTATTTGAATCAATTTTCATCAGTGAAGTTCAAAAGTTTTAACTATGAATTGAGAAATGGAATATTTGCTTTCAATATTTTGAGAATCTAACCACTCAAAGTTTCAACCTATTCCCCCATTTACAAATACAGTAAATGCACCTTTTTAGGCTTCCCCCAATCCAGTTCCTTAGACAAGTGTTCTGCTTTTGTACCATGTTTTCATATTTAATAATCTTCCCCCAAGAGCCAACAAGCCATTTTTTTCTTTTCCTTATACATATCATTCAATGATAATCATTCACTGCACCCAAACAAGGCTATAAAAAGTGCAAAAATAACTGAGGTTTTTTTTTTTAGAGGAGTATCTACTTAGCATTTAGGGATTCCTTTTAGCAAGTACACTTTTTAAAGTTGCCTAAATGTTCATAAATTCAGGAATAAGCTCTCTCTGTTAATATTTTGTATGTAAGGCTAAAGCAAACATAAATTTATGGAAAGAATTTAAAATTTTTGAAACTTGAAATTAAGCTGAGCATGGTGGTGCACACTGGTAATTCCAGCTGAAGCAGGAGGATAGCAAATTTGAGATCAGCCAGGGCAACTTAGGGAGACTCTGACTCAAAAAATGAAAAATAAAAAAGGGATGGGGATGTAGCTCAGTAGCTCCTGGGTTCAGTCTACACACACACACACACAGAACCCCCCCAAAAATAAAAAACACTTCAAATTAGAATTAACATAATTGAATATATAATGTTTTGTTAAAATTAAATCATCACTAGCAATGTTAAAAAAAGTACTGAATGCTACAGATTACACCATTGTTCTGTTTCACTCAGAGATCCTTTTTTGTTGTTGTTGTTGGTTCTGGGAATCGAACTTGGGACCTTGCACTTGCAAGTAGGCAGCAGTACCACTGAGCTAAATCCCCAGCCCTCCACTAAGAGATCTTGAGAGTATTTGTTTCTTTATAGCCTCACTAACATTGAGTGTTATCAAACTTTAAAATTTTGCCATCTGAGATGGCCGTGATGGCACTCACTTGTAAGCCCAGACCTTGGAAGGCTGAGACAGGGATCCCCATGAGTTTGAAGCCGGTCTGGGTTACATAGTGAGTTTAAGGAAACTTAACTACATAGTGAGACCCTGAATGCAAAAACAAAAAATAATTTTTAATTTAAAATTAAAATTTTGGGGCCGGGGATTTAACTCAGTGGTTCCACCACCTGTCTCGCAAGCACAAGGACCCAAGTTTGATCCCCAGTACAAAAAGAAAAAAATTAAAATTTTGCCTTTTTAAGGTAATAGTATTTTGTCTTTAATTGAAAATAATCTTTAGTCTAATTTAAGATATTAAACACTTGTATTGTTTTTCTATGAACTTTTTGTTTTTGATCATTGTTCATTTTTCTATTAAGTTGTTAGTATATTTTTTATGGATTTGTAATACTTATTTCAAGTTAAGATATTTGTCTCTTTTCCTGTGTCATTAACCTTTTGATTTTTCTTGTGGTATTTGGGGCTGTATGAGAAATTTAGTTTTTTGTTTTTAGGTAAATTTTATATATACTAAAATAATCATATCTATGGAAACAATGTTTTGAAAAATGCACACACTCCTATAGCCACAACCATAATATGAGGATATTTTCATTGCTCTAGAAATTTCTCTTGCTTTTGTCCACTTAGTTGCTATCTCCACAGGTGACTTCTATTATCATAGATTAATTTGCTTGTTCTTGAACTTTGTATAAATGTGACCATACAATGCATACCCTTGGATATAGTCTCTCTCGTTCAACATAACATTTTTGAGATTGATCCAGTTGTATGCATCAGTAATCCATTGCTTTTATTGATGAGTAATATTCCAATATAGGAATATACCACAAGTAATCCATTCTCCTAGTAATGACTATTATAAATAAAGCTGCCGAAAACATTGTTTTGTGTGTATTTTTGCAGTGCTGTGGATCAAATCTAGGGATTCACACATGCCATCTGAGCTACATTCCCAGTCCTGCTGTAAATTTTTTTGTTTTTGTTTTTGTTTTGTACTGGGAACTGAACCGAGGGCCTTCTCATTAAGTTACATCCTCAGCCCATTTTAAATTTTGAGTCAGGGTCTTGTTAAGTCACTAAGTTTTCCAGGCTGGCTTGAACTGGCAATCTTCTTGCCTCAGCTTCACAGTGTGCTGGGATTACTGGTGTGTGCCACCATGGCTAGTTAGTTGGGTTGTTCTAGATGCATGTCTTTGTCACATATATTTAGTATGAAATTTTTCTCTCGTTCTAAAGCTTATCTTTTAAAGAATTTTCTTGAAGTTGTCTTTGATGAGCAGACTTTTTCATTTTAATGGAAGTTCAGATTATTATTTTCTTTTATATTTCATGTTTTCTAGGTTCTAAGAAATCTTTGCCTGCCTCAGGGTCACAGAGGTGTTTTGTTTTTTTTTCATTCAGAAGAATTTTGTAGGTTTTGTTTTTGTATTCATCTTTTATCTGTCTCAAGTTAACATTTGTATATGGTTGAAAGTAGAAATTAATGTTTGTCCTATTCATTTATCAAGTTTCTCCCTGCCATTTGTTTGTAAGACTTTCTTTTCCCCATTTAATTGTTTTGGGACCACTGTTAAAAATTTAACTGAACTGGGTAAAAATGATATAAAATTGAGCTGTGTGTAAATCTATTTCATTTCTATTTTATGTTACATTGATCTGTTTGTCTATATTTAAGTACAAACTACACTGTATTGATTATTGTAGTTCTATAATCAGTTTTGAAATCAGATGATGCAACTTCATTCTTCAAGATTTTAAAAAACTGTTTTAGATCCTTTGCATTTTTGTTAATAATGCCAAAATCCCTAAGTGAAGAAGAAGAGGGTGGGGGATAATTGGCTGCTTTCAGATTTGATTCCTACTTCATTTTACTTGTAAATCAATTTTGCGGGGATAATTGACATCTTAACAATATTAAGTATTCTATCCCATAAATATGGTATAGTTTTCTTTTTAGGTCTTTAATTTCTCTCGGTAATATTTTGTATAGATCCCACACATATTTTGCTAAATTGACTCCTAAACACTTGATTTTTGATGCTATTAAAAATGGTAACTTTCTTAATTTCATTTTCAGTTGTTTGCGATGAATACAAACATTCCTTTCTTAACAACCAAGTTCCGTTCCCGAGACGAGGTCACTAAATGGATTGGTCACTAAATGAGGAATTGTGCATACTGTTGTATGTACATTACAATATTCAGAACAAAGAAATAGTCAAAGGAAACTCCAACTTGATGACTTTGCTTTTATTTGCATAACTCTTACATGCAGTACTATAATATATAACAGAACATAAAACTACAGTACTATACTGTATAGTACAAAGTACAATCAGCAAAAATTACAGTACTATATAAACAAGGTGTACAAAAAAACAACATTGAGGCTTTAAAAACAAGATGTACAGAATTGTACCAAAAAAAAAAAAAAACTGGTTGTTAAGTCCGAGCAGCTGGTAAATAGGTTGGTTGTTAAACAAGGAATATCTGTATATAGAAATAAAATTGACTTTTTTGTATTTTTCACCTTATATTCTGTGAGACTTTGCATCAGTAGTTTTAAAAATTCCTCAGCTGATTCCATCGGGTAGCCAAGTTTGAGTTCCTTCGTTCCATATTATAGGCTGTGTCAGCCTAGTTGCATATTAAAATTACCTGAGAGAGTTTTAAAAAATAGCTGGGCATGGGGCACATGCCAGTAGGTCCAACTACTCAGGAAACGGAGGCAAGAAGGAATCACTTGAGTTCAGGAATTCAAGACCAACCTAGCCCACATAGTGAGAACCTACCTATGTATTTTTAATTAAAAATTTAAAATGTCTATAACTGTATACCAACTCCAGTTTCTAACTTAAGTAGTTTGGCATAGAGTTTGGCATTAAAATTTGTTAAGTCTGCTCAGGTGAATTTAATGTGGTCTATGGCTGAGAACCACTAATTTATAGGCTTGAAAAGTTTCTTTCTAAATTTCACTCCCTCATATATATTTTTTATTAGTGTTTGTTTGTGATGCACAAGAAAAACGTTTGGGCCGGGAATTTAGCTCAGTGGTTCCGCTGCCTGCCTCGCAAGCACAAGGACCCAAGTTCAATCCCCGGTACCAAAAAAAAAACACAATAAAAACGTTCGTCATGGAGAATTGATCATATACAGATCACATCTTGATCCTTTTTTACTTTGATTCATTTTATCTATCTTCAAACTCCTGTTTGAAGACGTATTTTATAGTGTTTAATTATCTACATCTAAGGTGTACTACCTCAGCCTCTTTTGGATTTCATGTCTTTAGCTGCCCATCATAGTTGATTGTATCAGCAAGCTGATTTCTGTGGCAACCATTTTAAAGCTAAGCTGAATTAATTATGTTCCTTTCTCAGAATTTGAAGTGAAGAGAATGCAGCAATTAGCAAAGAAGTTAGAAACTAGGACCGTATATCAAGAGTTGCTATGATACAGAAGCAGGAGAAATAGTCATGATGGGACATTAGCAAACCTAATGTAAAATTTTGAATATGCGAAAAAAAGAAATCCATAAAAAAAGAATAGCCCAGTAGCTTTCTCTGACTCCTTTCAAGGAAGAAATAGTACTCCCTCATGGGTATTTTCAATATATTACTTTAGTACTTACCATATTGTATGTTAGTTTTTTTGTATCTCTCTTCCTAGTCAATGAGTTGTTCAAGTGAAGGACCAAGTTTCGTGTATGTTTTTAACATAGCATGTATATCATGGCTGCTCAGTAGACATTGAATCAAATTTAATTATATAGCTGTTAACACATATGACTTCTGAAAGTCAAATAATAAATAGCAGTAACGACTAATTTATTTTTCCCCTAGACTTTTGAATTTTAGCGTAAACCTTATTTCCCGTGGTATACATCATCCAGTCTCTACTGAAATTTTTCCTACTCTATCCAGAAATAAATACGGAACTGGAGCATTTAGCATTCAAGCTGGCAGTGCCTTGTTAGCTAAAGGTGGTATCTGCTTTATAGGAGACTTGTGTTCACACAAAAAAGATAAACTTGAACAACTTCAATCAGGTAAACAATATTTTTAAATTAATTGTTACCTGTTTAACCTAGTTTTATCAATGCCATGGAATTACTTAACAGTTAAGATAATAGTGCACATGCTTTAGGAGTTGAGAAATTATATTAAATGTCATTTCTCTAAGAAGAAAAGGGGCAAAGGGGAAGTGGAAGTGGGACAGGTAGGGGAAAGGAAATAAGGGAAAGGAGTTAATATGAGAAAATGAAAAAAAGCAAACAAAGTCTCTGTTAATAGGGAGGGATGGAAAGGTTGAAGGGAGGGCAGAAGAAGGGGGAAAATATAAGAAACAAGAGATTATGTAAAGGTGCACATTTCCAATGATGAATGTCATTATATTGTATACCTAAAATGTACCAATAAAAGGATATATTAAAAAAATGTCATTTCTCATTTCAGTTTCATAAGTAAAAACAAGAATTTAATGTGTAAATGCAGTGTTAACCTTTGCTTTGAGTTGTGCTAACACATGGCTTTACATTGAGCCAGATTTCTTTTTCTTCTTGTCTTATTGAATTAGCTAAAACTTTCAGTTCAGTGTTGAAAAGTGGTGATAAGAGGTTATATTCTTGCCTTGCTCCTGAAACTTACTGGGGAATCTTCAAGGTTCTCACCATTAAGTATCAGGTTAGCTGTGTGCTTTTTGTAGATATTTTGGAAACTTTTTTAAGGAAGTTTCCTGTTCCTAATTGCTGACAGTTTTTATCATGAATGAGTGTTGGATTTTGTCAAGTGCTTTTTTTGCAACTATTAATCTGATCATGTGATTTTTTCTCCTTTAAGATGTGATAGCTTATAGTGATTGACTTTAAGTGGGGAGCCATACTTGCATACATAATGGATAAATTCCATTTGGTTGTGGTATATGAATATTTTTATACATTGTTGGATTTGATGTATTATTTTGTTGAGGATTTTTACATCTACATTCAAGAGAAATACTGGTCTGTAATTTTATTTTCTTATAGTGTCTTTGTCTGGTTTTGGTATTAGGGTAATGGTGGTTAAGTCAGATTTATAACTAACAAGGATATGGACAGCTGTGAATTGGCCAAATACCAATCAGGGCTTTGCATCTCGGCATATCAGCATACATGTACAAGAATGCTTAGGGCACATAGTATATTGATTCACCTAACAGAAAGAGACTTATACTAATGTGGTCAGTTGATTTATTTTATTTTACTTTATTTTTTGGCAGTGCCAGGGATCTAATCCAGGGCCCTGAGCACACAAGACAAGTGCTCTGGTGCTGAGTTACATACCAAGCCCTGGTTAACTGACTTTTTACCATGCCACCAAAGAAAGATGATGGTGAAACATCTATGTACAGTGGTACCTCAGTTCGTGAACTTAATTCTTTCCATGATTCTGGTCACAAACCAAATTGGATGAGAACTGAATCAAATTCAATTATTAGGTTCAATGTTGATCTTATGGGGAAATTTGATTTGGTTCTCATCCAATTCAGTTTGGAAACAGAATTGTGGAAATAATTAAGCTCATGAACCAAGGTGCCATTGTATATGGAAAAAAATTAACCTCAGCTCAAACTCACTGTTATGGATAATAATGAATTTGAGATGGATCATAAAGCTAAATGTGAAAAACTAAAACTATAAAGCTTCTAGAAGAAAACATAAAATATCTGTATGACCAAAAAGTGGGAAATCTTTTTTTGGACAGGACTCAGCACTAAACATTAAAGAAAATAATTGATATTTTTGGCTTCCTCAAAACTAAAAAGTTACATACATTAAAAGTCCTCATTAAAAATATGAATAATGGCTAAAGACAAGATGACAGAACAGAGAGTGCCAGCAGCTTGGCTTCTCCAGGACAAAGTGTCTGGAGTCTGGAGGGCAGTGGCTTGGAGAGGAACCAAAGTGAGGGGAGGGTACATGGGAACCACAAGGGAACTGACCAAGGAGAAGAAAATAGGATTAAGTGATACAAAAGAGGTGGCCCACACTGCAGAGGAGAAACCCCAGCACTGCCTACATCAGCTGCCAGCCAGGAGGTAAAGTTAAAGTAATAATGTCTCTGTTCATGGAGAACTGCATGAGGACCAGGAGAATCTTATGAAGTTGGAAACAGCAAGAAGAACACTGCTTCCTGAATGGCCCTCCAGAGTCAACAGTTGGTGAGTGAATGCAGTACAAGCGCCTGAGGACACAAGCATGTGGAGCAGGAGCTGGTGGGGACACCATTGTGGGGAAGGGTTGAATGTTTGAACCGCAGTCCCAGAAAAGCCCCTTGGCTGCTTCACACTGCCAAGTTCCCAGAGCAGATGAGGGAAGAACAGTGATGGGAGACTGCTGGCAGCTGGAGAGCAGACTGGGGGAATTCCCACTGGAGAGGCAGGGACTAGTGATCACAGACTTGGTTCCTGGAGTCAGATGCCAGTTTCAACCTGAGTTACACAGGATTGGAGGCTCACATTGGAGCCATATTCCCACTGCTTAAAGGGAGACCCAAAATAGGGCCTTATGGTATGTTATTTTTCAACTAACCCTGATAGATACCACTGTAATGGATTAGCCTATTACTGTTTTGGTTGAACTGATTGCATAGGAATAATCCTGACTCAGTGGATAATTTAGTACCAGTGAACTTGCCAGCTCAATCCACCATCACATTCAAGGAGAGGGACAGCAAGAGTTCCTAACCCAAGAACTCAGACTGGATTAAACTCCGCAAGAATGCCTGCAACCTGGCAGAAAGAAGTCCTGAGTCTGTGTTAACATCACTATAATGGTGGAGGGATCCGAAGAATAATTGGGGCATGAACACTCAGACTCTCTGGCAAAGAAGCTACTTGGGAATCATATATGCATTGTCTCACTGGAATATCTAATCTGTGTTCCCATAGGACATCTTATGGGGTTAAATTTTTGTACGTTTCTTGAGCTATTTAGCAATGTAGGGTTATATTATGTTCTTTTATGGTTTCATGTGTATATTAGGTTGTCACTATTATATATTTGTTCTCTCAATGGCTCTGATTTAGTAGGTATCTAGGTTCTCTCCCTCATCTCAGCTCTTTATCTAGTTTCTTCACTTCAAACTTCTGAGACAATATTATTGACATATATCTTTATTATTTTTCCAAACACATAAACTCCTCTTCCCAAGTTTCAAAATTCACCATACTTAGACCCCTCACATTGACTCTTATCTTCACTACTATAATTCCTCCCTCCTCCCCATCCTAAGCCATTGGCTCTTCCATATCTTACTTAGCTTATTGTCCTCCCTATCATCAAGTTCTGATAACCACATAGCTTTTCTCAATCACAAAGTGAACCCTCTTCTGTATTTTGCCATTGCCCTAAAAAAATATCCTTTGCAAACTTTCAATACTAAACCTTCAACTCAACTAAAAGTACGCCAATAAAATCAGACCCCCCATCAATCTTTTCTTCTAATCTACCACTAGGTTCCTTTTAAACCTCCCACTTAGTGCCTAACAGTACTCATCCAAATACCCCCCATTTTTTCCACCCCACATCCCCTACCTCACTGCAGAACAACCACAAATAAACAGTCATAATGTGTATATATAATAGACAAAAAGGGGAAGAGTAACTGCAAGAACTATCAGATAGAAGTGTTGTAAGATTGAATCTGTGAATGCTGTCATAAATAGAACCAATTCTTTCAGCATTATAAGGCCAGATTCAAAATCACTTAAAGTAAATAATAGGAGTAAATACTGGCACTGGACCTACAAAGCTGAAAATAATACACAAGGAAGCAGCATCCTACTAAAAAGCTTGATACAAACCACACACTCTCCTCAGTTTTCTAGTCCTCCCCCCAAAAAAATAAGGGAGGAGAAAAAAGAAGGGGCCACATATAATTAAAAATAGATAGGTAAGGGCCGGGGATTTAGCTCAGTGGTTTCGCTGCCTGCTGTGCAAGCGCAAGGGCCCGAGTTCGATCCCCGGTACCAAAAAAAAAAAAAAAAAGGTAGATAGATGGATAGAAAGAAAGAAGGAAAGAAAGAAAGAAAGGAAAGAAAGAAAGAAAGAAAAAGAAGCAGAATACTTTACACAGATACAAGTAGCATTCTTTACAAATTTAGATAAAACAATCCTAAAATTCATATGGAACCACCAGAGACCCAGAATAGCAAAAGCAATTTTGGACAACAAGAGCAAGGCAGGATGCATTATAATACCTCACTTCAAGCTGTACTACAAAGCAATAGTGATAAAAAATTACACGGTACTGGAATAAAAACAGACACGTGGAGCAAAGGACCAGAATTGAGAATACAGAAACCTCCTCAGACATATTTAACTATTTGATCTTTGCCAAAGGGTCCAAAAGCTCATGTTGAAGGAAAGATAGCCTATTCAACAAGTGGTGTTGGAAAAACTAGTTGTTTGCAGAAGAATGAAACTGGACCCTTATCTCTCGCCCTATACTAAATTTAAATCAAAATGGATCAAAATCTAAACATTAAAACAGAAACATTAAACTTTCTGGGAGATAAAATAGGTAAAACACTTGAAGACACAGGTATAGGAAAGGATTTTTCTAAACATATCTCAATTGCACAAGAAATAGCTGCAAAGAATCAACAAGGAATTATATCAGACTAAAAAGCTGTACAGCAAAAGAATCAATAAGTGAGTGAAAAGACAACCTACAAAATGGGAAACATTTTTTGCCAGCTACTCCTCAAACAGAAGGCTCAGGTTTAGAGTATACAAAGAACTGAAAAAAAGTTAAACTACCTAAAATTAAAGACCCAATCAAGAAATGGGCAAGAGAAATGAACAGATACTTTGCAGAGGAAGAAATACAAATAGTCAACAAATATATGAAAAAAATGTCCAACATCTCTGGCCATTAGAGAAATGCAAATTAAAGCAATGCTAAGATTCTATCTTGCTCCGAAAAGAATGGAAATCATTAGGAAATCAAACAATAACAAATATTGTCATGGCTGTGATTAAAAAGGAACCCTCATGCATTTTTGATGGGAATGCAAACTAGTACAACCATGGAAATCAGTAAGGAGATTTCTCAAAAAACTGAAATTAGAAATTCCATTTGATCCAGCTAGCCCCTTCCTAGCTGTCTTCCCCAAAGAGCTTAAGTCATCATACTATAGTGATACATGCATACCAATGTTTATAGTAGTGCAATTTGTAATAGCTAAATCTTGGATTTATTCTTTTAACCATTTTAAAATGTACAATTCAGTGGCACTAAGTGCATTCACAGTATTGATTTATTTTCACTACTGTCCATTACCATAACTGTTTCATCATCCCAAATAGAAACTCTATATCCATTAAACACTATCCCCCTAGTTTCCCCTCCTACTAGTCCCTGGTAACCCCTAGTGTTCTTTCTGTCTCTGAACTTGCCTATTAATAGGATTTCATTCGTTTTTATGGTTGAATAATATTATACCATAAATATCACTTTTAAAAATCCATTCTTCTGTTAAAAGGTCCAAAGGGGTAGGAGTAGTGGGAGGGGCAGGGGAAAGGAAAGAAGGGAAAGGAAAAATGCTGAGAAAGGGAAAAAATGGAAAGAAAGTCTTTGTAAGTAGAGAAGGTTGGAAGAGGAGAAGGGAGGGCTAGGAATGGGGAAAAAATGAGAACCAAGATGCATTATGTAAAGGTACAGTCTCCAATGAGAAATGTAATTGTGTTGTATACCTAAAATGTACCAATAAAAGAATTTAACCAAAAAAATATCCATTCTTCTGTTGATGGATACTTGGGATGTTACCACCTTTTGGTTTTTATGAATAATGCTGCTATACACCTTGATGTAAATATATTTGTTTGAGTCCTTACTTTCAACTCTTTTGAATATAACCTAGGAGTGGAATTGCTGGATCCTGTGGTACTTCAGTGTTTAACTTCTCTTTTGTGTGTCTGTGTGGTATTGGAGATTGAACTCAGGGCTCTGCACTGAGCTGTATCTACAGCACTTGATTTTTAATTTTGAGACAGGGTCTCATAAGTTTTTGAGTTGCCCAGGCTAGGCTCAAACTTGTAATCCTCTTCCCTCAGCCTCCCATAGTACTGGGATTATAGGCATTCACCATGGTGCCTAGCTTCAATATTCAACTTTTTGAGGACTTGTAAAACTTTTCCATAGAAATCACACTATGAGGGGTACAATTTCTCTCATATCACCCCGTTACATTTCATGACTAATAAAATATTTTTAAATAAAAAAGCTTTGTATATTAGTACTTTAACAGCAACACTGTTGCTGCTTTTAAAATAAGAGGCCCAAATTTTTGTTTTACAGTGGGCCCCACAACTATGTAATTTGTCCTGCCTACTGGGATGGTAAAAATTAAAAAGATTGACAACAAAAACTATTGTTGAGGATCTGGAATATCTGAATGTTCATATATTCTTGGTAGGAATATCAAATGGCACAGCCATTTTGAAAACTGCTGTGGAAGTTTCTATAAAGTTAAATATACATTTATTATATGACCTAAGAGAAAGATAAACATGGACACAAAAGACAGTTGTTATGAGTTTTAAAAGATTAACCTGAAAACTATTTGGAATGTAGAATCCTAGAAGTAGAGTTTAGTCCATAGATTGGATGGTTATAAAGGGTGAAGGAAGGACAGGAAAAGGAAAACAGCATTTTTCTATTTTGGTGTTTTTGTTTGTTTGTTTTGTTTTTTGTTTAAGTAGATGGGTGGTATGCCACCAGTTGTGAATAATGAAAACAAAGCCATGGTGGAGAGGAGGATTAGATGATGGGTTTTGTTTTTAACATGTTGATTTTGAAATATATTAATCCCGGTCATTGTAGTTCATATTCTTGTCTTTTCCCCACACATTCTCAAATGGATGACCCACTTTCTATCATTTTTTTTCCATGTAAAAGGACATTAGTTAATTTCAGCCTCCCTTGTAAGCCTGTACTATATGATCAATCTCTTAGCATTCTGCTTATTCCACCCAGGTACCTAACCATAATTCTACCTATGTGCTTTGGACTGGTAGTTAGTTCTCATTAATCATGGGACATTAGGGCTGGGGATTTAGCTCAGTGGTTCCACCACCTGCCTCAGAAGCGCAAGGACCCGAGTTTGACCCCCGGTACCAAGAAAAAAAAGAACAAAACAATATACTGGGACATTATAAACATTCAGTTTTTTTTAATCTTGTTCTTTTTATGTCAGGTGGCCTCATTTAGCAGAATCTCTCAAAACAACTAAATTTAATTGTGTTTTCACTCTGAAATTTAAACAGTAAAATTTTATATAATATTTGTTATTAATTTGTAGACATATAGGCCAAAATGAATTTAAATAATAAATGGATAATATATTTTGACTTAGTTCTGGAGAGCAGAAGCATTACAGTGTACATCCCAGGAAAGAAGTTTGGGGATGATATAGATCAACAAATGACTTTTCCAGTTCAGTGCAGTTTTTGGTCTTTTGTTGATATGGATTCGTCTTCAAAGAGAAATGCACAGAAAACCAACACTCTAATTGGTCAGATGGTAAAGTACATATTTATGTTCTCATTAGAACAGTATTCAGGGAACTTAGTCACAAATTTTAATGTCTTTAATTTTTTTGTTATTAACCCGTTTCCGTATTAGGTACTACAACTAAATAATGACTCAGTTACTTAAATTTAATTGTGTGTGTGTGTGTGTGTGTGTGTGTTTGTGTGTGGTGCTAGGATCAGACCCAGGAACTCGAGCATAACAGTGCTCTACCACTGAAGTACATCCCTAAAGTTTTTAATGTTTTTAGTTATGCAAGTAAGATGTCTACTAAGTAGAAATTTCCATTTGAATTAGTAGTTGGAAGTCTTTAATAAGTAATGTGTAAAACAATATTCAATAAGAGCTTTTTTTAAAAAAAAGTTGCTGTCCACAAGTCCCCAGGCCATTGAAAAATTGCTTTAAATTTTAATTAATAATAAAACGTTGATGCCTCTCAACCTTTACTCATGCAGTATGGTTAATAAGTAATTAAATAAGTTATATATCATGATTAATTTGTAATTAATTTTTCCAAATTGTTCAAGGCTTATTATTTGCCTTTTACATTTTGGTTTGATGTAGGATTGCAGTTTGATTCCAGCTAACTTTGTGGAAGCATTTGGATTATTGATTAATTGCAATGAGTCATCTCCTTGCCACCCACTTCTTCCAACTGTGCAACATACCTTAAAGAAAGCCACTGATTCCAAAGGGCTACTTCATTTAGCTTCTAAACAGTTCACAACAGAAGACTTTGAAAAGGTAAAGATAGATAAAATGGTTACCCAGAATTCCCATGTTACTGTTTCTCAATTTAAAAAGAAATGTCTTTGAGCACCCACTTTTCTTAATTTAGGATTCTTTTATTCCAACCTCCTTCCAGATTTTAAACATTTAAGGACTCTGTATAGAAATTATTTGGGATTATAATTTAATAATTGTGTAAGAAAGTGGATATTAAAATGCTGAGTTTATTCTTTATACCACTGTGCAAATCACCAAAGCTTAAAGAATCTCAATGAAACAAAAATCAAAATAGAGTATTTTTATAGAAAATTATAGGTTGTATAAATATAAAATTGTTTAAATTTTATAAATGATTAAAAGGGATTTCCCTTATATTAATGCCACCTCTCTTAGTTACTTTTCTCATTGCTGAAACAAAATACTTGACAACCAAAGTTAAAGGAGGAAAGATTTATTTTGGCTCACAGTTTATAGAGGTTTCAGTCCATAGTCAGCTGCCTCCAAGGCAGGGTGGCATGGCAGAGGGGCACTGCATAGGAGAAACAGTTCATGGCAAAGCAGAGCAGCCAGAAGGAGCAAAGCAGCAAAGTGATAGCAGCAGCCCCCTTTCTGTCCCCTGTATTTTATCCAGGCCACTCACATCCAGGGTGGGGAGACCCTTAATCCCAGCATCACATACCCTAGATCCAGCCACCTCTAAAAAACCACACTTATGACTAAATGAGGTTTTGTAGGGACTTCTCAACACAAGCTACAACACCATCAGAGTTCTTACTTTTGGCAATACCTAGCATGACTCACTAACCCATAATGTTCTGACATTATGAAGACATGTGTGGCATGTTCAGAGAAACTGAGAGCAGAAAATATAAATTTAGCAGTCATTGTCATAGCTATTTAAGGCATGCTTTTATTTATAACTAAAACCCTTTAACTATTCAGAAATTTATCCATAATGAACAATCTTTGAAGGATACATTTAAATGTAGGGGATAATTTGAAGTGACAGTCCATAGCTATTGAAAAGTTTTTCTTCATACTTGCCTTCCTTGTAATCATACTGCAAGAGTAAAAGGTTGAGAGGTGAAGTGGAGTTAAAAGTGAATGGGAAGCATTGTTTATTCACACAGCTTAGAATAGAAAAACAATATTTATATTATAGTAAGTTTTGCTTTTCTTAGTAAATAAGAAGAATAGTTAATCTTTAGGATACTAAATATGGACAGAGTAATAACACACAGGCATTTCTGTCCATTTTTTTCCTGGAAAACAACAAAAAAACCCTATGGATTTACTGATCTGGTAATTATTGAGTACTTCATATATACATATATATTTCTGTCCTTTTATATTTACCTAAAAACAGAAAGTTTCTTCTTTAAATGGTTTATCACTTAATTGAGATAAAAACAAGATTATAAGGAAAAACATTACATGCTAAGATGAGTGGGGCTGACTATAATTATTTTAGGAATTCAGAAATGAAGATAATAATATATAATGCAAGAGTTGGGAAGACTTCATGGAAAAGGTGGGACTTTAGGGCCAGGGATTTAGCTCAGTGGTTCCGCCGCCTGCCTTGCAAGCACAAGGTTCCAAGTTCAATCCCCGGTACCAAAAAAAAACCCAACAAAAAACCACAAGATGGGACTTTATCTGGACCTTAAGAAAAGATTAAATTTAGATGCCAAGAAGTATAGGTACTCTAAGCAGAAATAACAGTAGGAGCAAAGAGATAAAAGTTGAAATGAATATATATGGAAAACTGAGAAGAACAGCTTGACAAGAACAAAAAATATATTGTGCATTCTTGGGAATTTGGCAATTTACAATCAGTAAGCCTCGATTTGTCAGACTGTAGAGAACAGTAGATATTACCAGGGAAGTGAAATGATAACAATGGTTCCTTGGAAGATAAGTTTTCTAAGCCAGACATATCAGCCTGAGCTCTCTGGAAAGTTGACTCAGTTGTCCAGAAGGCAGTTTAGCATGCTAATGTATACTTGGGACTGTTCTTCTATCAATATATGAGGAAGAAAGGAAGCAGGATTGGGCAGAGGGAAAAAGCAAGCTGGCAAGGCAGGCCCAGTGTTAGCCTCTGGGGCCCTACAAGGAGCTCTGAAAGTAAAAACACCCATCTGAGCAGTTCAGCTTTATGGGAGCTTCATAACACCTACTTCTGACTCCACCAGCCTTATGATATATGCTCTTCTGAGGCAAACCCTGAAGGGGCTGGCCGCTGGAAACCATTGCTGACAGAACTTCCAGTAGCTGAGGCAAAAAGTCCTTTCCTAAAGGGTGATATAGATCACATCATTGTGCCACCACAGGATAAAATTTAGGGCTTCTGCTATTAGTATTATTACACAGTTTGTAGGACTGGAGTGAATTATGAACTATAAGGAGAGCAATGACAGGATGCATCCAATCCAGAACATGCCCAACCCAGAATATGTCCATATACTTTTTAAAAAGATTATATTTAAAATATTAAACTGGATGTGTTGGCACACACCTGTAATCCTAGCACTGTGGGAGGCTGAGGCAGGAGAATCAAATATTTGAGTCCAGCCTGGGCAGTTTAGCAACTTAGTGAGACTCTGACTCAAATAAAAAATTAGCAATGTGGGAGGCTGAGGCAGGAGAATGGCAAGTTGGAGCCCAGCCTGGGCAATTTAGTGGCTTAGCAAGACCCAGCCTCAAAATAAAAAAATAAAAGGGCTTGAGATGTAGCTCAGTGAGAAGAATCCTGTGTTCAATCTCCAGTACAGGAAAAAATATAGATAGATAGATAGATAGATACTATAGACCACCAAAAATGTATATACTCATACACAGAGTCTGCCAAAAACTGTATATATACACACTTCAGGAAAAGAGGAACTTGTATAAATATTTAATACTAAATTTATTGAGACAGCATGAGACTAATACAAGTTACCTTTGGCCTCTACAATTACAAGAGGTGCTCAAAGTGGTGGCCATTAGCTTCTAGAAATTTCTAAGTATGGCAGACTGCTGCTTGAGTAACCTTGGTCACTGAGATCACTGCATATGCATTTTCAGTTCCTTCTGTAAGGCAGGCAGTGTAGTGGGTTTTTCTGTGATATGTGACATCCCCTAGGGTCCCCCATATAAGGGTAATCGGTTGAAAAACATCATACTATTTTTCTTTTCCTGAAGTATGTATATATTTTTTGTTCTTTCTGTCTCTCTCAATATATAGGTAGATATAGATATTATAGTTAATTTTTCCTTTTGTACATATCTTATAGTTATATATATCTATATAGTTTTTATATATCTTATAGTTTATTTTTCCTATTTGTTCTGTGAATTTTAAAAACTACAAAACTAGGATAGTAAAAAAAAAAATCTGGAAATAAAAGAAAGTTATGAGGAAATAAATTATCAAATAATTGAAGATAGGGCCGGGGACTTAGCTCAGTGGCAACGTGCCTGCCTTGCAAGCGCAAGGTCCTGAGTTCAATCCCCAGTACCATTAAAAAAAAAAAATTGAAGATATTCAAAAGAGAAATTAGCTCCTAGGGGAGGTGAGTCTTTCTGCCACTGGAGCAAATATATTTTCTCCCACTGGAGCAAAACTATATTATTCAAATATGTTGTATAGAACATTTCTGCACTGTGAAGGAGATTGTTCTAGGTAAACTTTAATATTCTTTGCAAATATAAGACTGTGATTTAAGGTGCTCACTGACTGCAAAAAGTCCTCATATTTACTCAATTTTTAACATATTCAGACTTTAACAAATAAGCACTAATATACTTTATCTCTTATATAGATTCTATAATAAAATTTAAATCTCTTAAAATTTTCACTTTTAATTTAGCTACTGATTTTTGCAAAGAATTTGAATGTAGAGTTCAGCTTGGAGGCAGAAAGAATGATTCATGGTTATTATCTAGCAAGTCGCAGAATCAGAACAGATTCTATGTATGGATCAAAACTGTCAGCATCTGCATTGAAATATTTGTAGGTATTCAATTCAACATGTTAAAGTCAAAATTGACTTCTAATTGATGTGTTTAATTACCTTGCTTATCTATTTCATTTGTTTCTCTGACTACTGGTTGGTTGGTTTATAACTTATTTAATTCCAAAGAATTTAAAATGGTTTAACAATTTCTTTTTTATGTTTTTACATCACTTGAGCCTCTAATAATTCTTTTCACTAAATTTTTTATTAGATCCCTTATATGAGATATGTCTGAGAAAAGTACAGAGGTTTCAAATACAAATGATTGCTTTCTAAAATGTGTCTGTTTATATTCCGAGTATTTTGTACTTGGACTTAGAAAAAATTCTTAAGTATATTGTTTCTTGTACTTAAGTACTTCAATACATTCAACTAGTACTGTTCAAGTTAAAAAACTAATTTTTATTATAAAAACAAAGTATGGACATTATACAAGTATACAAGTCTAAAATGATGAGTAAAGTATCCTGCTAATCTTACCTATTCCTGCTTCACTCCCTATAGATAATAACTATTAAGTTTTTATGTATCTTTCTAGAAATTACCTACTAAAATGCTAATGTATATATAATTTAAACATATATTTTTTTGAATGTCATTTTAAAATTAATGTTAAACATATATAGAATTTTTTCTTATATATTGATGTTCTTTTTTGCTCAATTGGAAACAAGCATGTACAGAAAGAATCACTTCATTCTATTTTAATAGCTGCATTAGTTTTACTATGTTGTGATGAGTAATATTGTGACATATCTTGACCATAATCCATGCAGTTCCCTATTGACAGACCATTACTTCACTTGATATAATTTTAAATATCTCAAACAAATCATGAAGCAGAACCAGGCATACAAGAATCCATTAAATAAATAATACAGTTATTACTGTAATATAAAATAAGAAAGATGAAGGACTGGCAGGAAGTATCAAGTACAGGTCTGTAAGAGATAGATATGTTTAGTTAATTTCACCAGCTATATATTTATCTTCATAGAGTTGAAAAAAACTTCAAAAGATAAGGCAAGGTAGAAGTCAATTTGATAAACAGAATTATATAATACTTTCCTTTTTTTTTGCAGTAGTTTAAAAAATATTTAGATCAAATTATACTGCTTTAAAGTTTTAAAAGATTTATTTACTCATGGCGTATTTTTTGTGTATAGTAAAAAATATTTGTGTTTAAACTCATATAGTCTCAGTTTGCCTATACTGAGCTAAAAATAAGGCAGTGTTCATTTAATTTATTAACATGTATTAATGGAACATACTGATAGGGTTCAGTGTGATGTTTCCATACATACATTTAGCTGATCAAATTAAACCTTCTCCCCCACCTTCCCAATCTCTAGTAATCAGTATCCTACATTCCAGTTGACGTTGTTTAGCTTCCAGAAATGACAAGGAACATGCAGGATTTATCTTTCTGTGTCTGGCTTCAGCACCTGTAATCCCAGCTATTCAGAAAGTTCAAGCCCAGCCTGAACAATTTAGTAAGACCATGTCTCAAAAAATAAAAAGGAGTAGGGATGTTGCTCAGTGGTAGAGTGCTCCTAGTTTTAATTCCCAGAAGAAAGAAAGAGGCAGGGATAAAAGGAGGGGGAAGGGAGGGGAGGGAGAGGGGGAGAGGAAGGAAAGGAAGGAAGGAAGGAAGGAAGGAAGGAAGGAAGGAAGGAAGGAAGGAAGGAAGGAAAGAAGGAAGGAAGGAGAGAGGGAGGGAGGGAGGGAGGAAAGGTGAAAGGGGAAGGGAGAGGAGGGAAGGAGAGGGAAGGGAATAGAAAGGAAGAAAGAAGAAAGAAATGGAAGGAGTGAAGGGGGGGATGATTGTCTCATGAAGCAGTGAATCCTAGAGGAGGAGGTTCAAAAGAGATTGGATAAACCAGGCGTGGTGGTGCATGCCTGTAATCCCAGAAGTAATCCCAGCACTCAGGAGGCTGAGGCAGGAGGATTGCTGTGAGTTTGAGGCCAGCCCGGGCTACCTAGTGAGTCCAAGGCCAGGCTGGACTACATAGCGATACCCTGGGTGAGGGGGGGGATGACTGGATAACGAGTAGCCCGGGAAGTGTAGAGGAAATTCACTCTTCTGGTAACTTAAAGCCCCAAGCAAAATCCCTTCCAACACTGAAATTACAAGTTTCTATGAAGACTTCAGATAGGTAAAGAACTGGGTGAAAACATCAAGGATTTGTCTACAAGAGATATTTAGTTAGGTTTATTTTCTCAACTATGTATCTGAACAGAAGTAGGGGTGGAGATGGAAGGCTGTGGAATGATAAATGGAAGCCAGGGTAGAAACCAACTTTTTGATAAGTCAGGATACTTGCTTGTTCTGTAACATTCTATTTAAGTTGGTAGGAAAAAAGACGACTTAAGAACAAGGCCGGGGATTTAGCTCAGTGGTTTTGCTGCCTGCTGTGCAAGTGCAGGGACCCGAGTTCAATCCCCGGTACCAAAAAAAATAATAAGAAGAAAATAAAATTTTTTCTAAAGTTAGAATATGCTGATCTTAATGTGTGGTTAATGTTCATGCATGTCTTAGTCTGTTTCTACCAAAATACATGTATTTTTATAACATCAATATATTTTTATAATATGAATTTTAGAGTTTCCTTATCTGAAGCCCATGCACGACTAAACTTAAGGAATAAAGTGCTCAAAGAAGATGTACTAATTGCAGCCTTGTTATCTGAAACATCTCTCACGTTGAAATATGGTAATAAATTTTAATGATCCTTACAAATAATTTTAAATATTCTTTGTTATATGTTTTAAATATTAAAGAATTATAAATTAACAAGATTTGTTTGAATTTGAACATTTACTATGGTTTACAGCAGTATCATCATCTAATATTGTTTCTTATTATGCATGGCATGTTTCTATACTTGTTTGCTTAAAGAATTTTAGGGGGAAAGTACTTAATACAACACATTAAATTATTTTAATGTACATTCATTATTGAAATAACAGTATAATTGTCAAGCAATCCTCCATAGTGGAGTTAGGCACATAGGCAAAATTACCACTTTTCTGAATTGCTAGATTTAATTGACTACAGTGCTTAATCATTTAAAATGAATGATACTTACTATGCTTTTGCTAATAAAAATACAAAAGATCTCTAAGGTAAGGGTAAGGAGAGTTAAGTCTTATAAAGTTTTCATTAAATTAGATATCATCCTTCAAACCATTTTAACACTGGCTTTTCGGCCTGTGTTTAGTGCTTACATGTGTTTAAATTGCATTTATACCGTGTTGTCACAAATGTCCATTAGGCCCTTACAGTTTTAACTATAATTGTCTAGATCAAGCATTCTTAATCTATGATAAATAGATGTTTGGAGTCCTATGGGCTTGTGAATCTCTACATTATGCACAATTTGTATATGTGTGCCTTTTCCTAGAGAGATAGGTTGTAGGTTTTATGAAATACATCTTAAGTGACTGATAACTGCCAGAAAAGATTGTCATCATGAATTAGTTTCATTTAACAAACAATAAAAACACTGGTTTCCATCCAATACAAAGATAATAGGAAAGATATATAAATATTTTAATTTGCTTTATCTTTACATTCTTCTTATTTAATTAAGTTGAAGACACATTGTTTTACCATGAAGAAAAAAATGTTGCCTATTTTACTATGACATACCATCAATTGTTAAGAGACATCTGGGTTTCTGTAATATGTGTCTTTGAGTTGACAAACTATGATTTTATAATTTTAAGGACTCCTGTTAGACTATAAGAGAATATTTTTACTTGCTATTTTTTAAGACTTCCTTGAAGCATTTAAGGAGGCATTTGAGGGAAATAAAACTATATGATTTTCCAGCTTGAGTTACTTTTCTTTACAAAATGAATTCTACTTAGGTATATTGATTTTTAAGTCTGAAGTAAAACAATATTAAGAGCTCCTAAATGCACTTGGAACATAAAAGAAAATGATGCCTTGAGAAGTAGAGAAATTTTATATAAAGCTACACCTGCATTTCCTAATGACTGTATGATCTTAGGTATTAAAAGTAATTTACCCTCTTTTTACATTACTTGCATACCATATATTAAAATATACATTAAAAGAAATAATTATAATTTAAGGACTGATGTACTGAGTATTATGTGCTCTCTTGTAATTATCACTATTTGAATTAAATATTCATGATAATTTTATTCAGTGAATGAGTCAACAAATGTTTTTTGAAGGACAACTAGGTGCTAGGCCTCTGATATAATACAGTGGTGGAAAAACAGACAGTCTCTACCTGGGTACACAGCCTAGTGAGAAAACAGATATTAAAAAGTAAAAACACTAATGTATAATACAATTTGAGAGAGATACTGTACTGTGAAGAAAACAAACAGGTTATTATAAGGAAGAATAATAAAAGGACTTACTTTGAATTTTTAGGGAGAATTCTCTAAGGAAGTGTTATTTATTTAACCTGAGGAATAAAAATCCAGATAGAGGGAAATTAGTTATGTAGGTGCTTTTAAGAAAATGGAAGGGTAGGCTGGGGATTTAGCTCAGTGGTTTTGGTGCCTGCCTCGAAAGCACAAGGTCCCGAGTTCGATTCCCAATACCAAAAAAAAAAAGAAAAAAGAAAATGGAAGGGTGGCTAAAACATAATAAACAAAACAGAGTGATACAAGTTAAGTTTGGAGAGAAAAAGAGGGCCAGATCCTGCAGAGCCTCACAGACCATGGTAGAAAATCGGGATTCTTTTCCAAATACAATGGAAAGCCACTGAAAGGCTTTAAGCAGAGAACTAATATGATCAATTATATTTGTGAACCATCACTGTCGTAGTGGAGTGGTGGCGAACTTGTGGCACGCATGCCTCAGCAGGCTGTTTGTACCACTGAAAGCTCTAAAAGGTTTGTCATCACTGTCTTAGTGGATATGGAGAATGAATTGGATGAGGTGGTGAGGCAGACAACTTAGGAAATTGCTGTCATAGTCCAAGGCAGTTAATAATGGGAGCTTTGACTAGGTAGAGGTAGTAGACATGAAAATTAGGGATACATGTTAGATGCAAAAACCAATAGGTTTTGTTCATGTACTAAATTAGGAGTTAGGGCAGGGTTGAGGGGAAAGACAGGGAGGAATTAAGGAAACCTCTCAGGTTGATCCTTTGAGCAACCAGGTGAATCATGGTGCCATTTTCCAAGACTGGGAAGGAAGGCAGAAAGAGGTTTGGGGGAAAAAATCAAATTATACATATGATGATACACTAGCGATATCAACAGATAAAAGAATGTGGACTTACTAGAAATAGAATTTAGCAATAATTAGCATAGAGATGGTATTCAAAGCTGAGAAGTAGAAGAAATTATCTAGAGATTAGAGAGAATTCCAACTGACCTTGGAAGACTTCAGTGTTTAGAAATGGGAGTTGAGGAGGAGAAATTGACAAAGGAGACTGAGAAGCAGGAGCTAAAGTGTAGAAGGAAAATACAGTGTGGTATTACAGAAGCTAAGAAAGAGGGTTTCCCAAGGGAGCAGATTGGTAGGGTATATTACATGCTACTGAGTTTAAGATTACATTTAGTAGTCTAGAATTTATAGGAGGCTATTATCATACATAAGCAATTCTGAGATGTTGACTGTGAAGATTAGGAGAGAAATGGAGAATTTAGCTGGAGAAGATGTAGTCGAATAAAGGATATGTACTGTTTTTTTAATACATAAGGTATTAAAATCATATGATGTATAAATAGCAAATGATTTTACAGAAAGCAAGCAACACCTGACATGGTAGTATCTTCCTGCAGTCTGAGATCAGCATGGACATCATAGCAAGAAAAAAAAAAAGGTGGGGTAGGGGGACCAAGGAGGTAAGTCCTGAAAAATATGAGCAGGGATCAGATCCAGAACACATTGCTGTGACTGGTCACTTGATTTTATTGGAGGGAAGACAGTAGATAAAGAACTAGGCAGATATGTAGATTTGCTCTTATACTTCACTAAAGTTCTCATTTCAGGTTTTTAAGAAGTCGGATTTAAATAATAAATACTCTATTGAGGGGCCAGAGATGTATCTCAGTGGCACCATGCCTGCCTGGCAAGCACAAGGTCCTGAGTTCAATTCCTGGTGCAGGGGGAAAAAAGCCCCCCCAAACTCCATTGAATAAGTCAGAACTTGATTTTAAAATCTTTACTAGAAGCCAGGCATGGTGCCACTTGCCTATAATCCCAGCACTCAGGAGGCTGAAATACAAGGTGATACCGTGTTTCAAAAACACATGCAAAACAAAACAAAACTTAAAAAAAAAAAAACCTTCACTGGAGTATTTTGGTTGAAAATATGATTTAATATTTAGTATGTTAAGGAATATTTCCCATTTACACTGTACTTCTTTATTTTAGGAGCCACTGCATTTGGTGTTGCTCCAAATGCAGTATTTCCATTTGAACTGTATAATGAAGAGTATTTAGAACAAAGGGATCTCTATCTGACTCAGTGCCAACAACAGCTTCAACAGTTTATTGCCACCTATGGACCTGGAATTGCTCTTTTTTCTAGTGATGAATAAGCAACGTAAGGAAAAGTTTTCACTCCTACTTAAGCAATGGGGAAAAGTACATTTGAATGGTTTTCAAGTAATACTTCAGATAATACCATGTACAAGATTACATTAGAGTACCATTTAAAAACTATAACCGATGGTCCTTTAAAAATAAATTGCTGGGCTGGGGATGTAGCTCAGTGGTTCCACCGCCTGCCTCGAAAGCACAAGGTCCCAAGTTCGATCTAAGGTAAAAAAAAAAAAAATTGCTAATGCCTGGCAAGCATGAGGTCCTGAGTTCGATCCCCGGTATTGTCTAAACCTCTAAAACCAGCAGCAGAATTTAAAAATTTAGAACGATACGAACAGTTTAAAATGAAGTGGGCAAGGGGCCAGGGACATAATTCAGTGGCGCCGCACCTGCGTGGCAAGCACAAGGTCCTGAGTTCAATCACCAGTATTGGGGGGAAAAAAATGAAGTGGCCAAAGAGAATCCTATTTTTATTTTTTTTTGGTACCAGGGAATCGAACTCGGGTCCTTGGTGCTTGTGCAGCAGGCTGCGAAACCACTGAGCTAAATCCCTGGCCAGAGAATCCTACTTTTAAAAATTTCGGGCTGGCTGGGTGGTGACACATGCCCATAATCCCACCTACTCTGGAGGCTAAGGCAGAAGAATGAGAATGGAGGCTAGCCTGGGAGAACTTAGTGAGATCATCTCAAAAATGAAAATTAAAAATTATAAAACGGGCTGGGGATTTGGTACCAAGGAGGGAAAAAAAAAATTGAAATTTCTGGTTTGCCCAGTATATCAGAGATGAAGAGATAAAAAGAGAATGTTGCAATGTTGAAAATGGTAACATATGTAGTTCATTCTACTTGTCACAAGATGGCAATAATACTTTTAATTTTCCTACAAATTAAAACCATTTTTCTTCAAACTTGTGAAGTTGCCAAACTGATAATTTATATGACCTAAAATTTCAAATTTAAAGCCCATATGGAATATGGAAAAACCTTTGAATTTTCATGTCAAGTTAAATGGAAAAAAATGGAGTCAATGAATCAGCGATTTATAAATTGGCCTTCTTCCTAAAAGGTTTTAAAAGTTCCAAAAGACAATTTGCCAACCAATTATTATTTGAGATGGGGGGGTCTCACGTTGCCCAGGCTGGCCTTGAACTTTTGGGAAACAAGTGATCCTCCTGTCTCAGCCTCCCAAGTAGCTGAGACTACAGGTATATACCATTGCATCTGACCTCCACTTTTTGGGTTTGTTTTTAAAAAACTGGGGACATCAAAACATACCAATTTCATAAAACCTTTTTTGGGGGTGGTACTGGGAATTTAACCCAGAGCCTTCACACCGATCTACATTCTTGTCTTTTTTTGAAATAGGATGAAGGCAAAACAGTATTATTTTAAAAGCATATGAAAACTAGGATCTATAGTAGAGCCCAGGCTGGCCTTGAACTCATGGCAGTCCTTCTGCCTCAGCCTCTCAAGTGCTGGGATTACGGGTGTGTGCCACCATGCCCAGCTATCCTCAATTTCATAATATTGAAGTTCCAAACACTGGGAGGAAAAGAACTATGGTTTTTAAATGTTGCCTTTAATGGGAAGTGATTAGGACACAGCTTTACAATTACAGTTTAACTGAGCCTGCTATATGCAAACTATGATCATAACAAAAGTATTTTATCTATAAAATATGGAGTCAATATGGCAAACAATTTTGCTAAATATAAGCCTTCACTTGGGTAAGATTCAGTTTTAAAGTTCTTGTAAATTTTTAGTCCTAGACAGACAGGTGGCCTGCCCAGTCACTATCTTCCTTAATACAGCATATTGTTATTACTTGTTATAGAGCATTACTTTTTGTGTTCACAAAAATAAAAGTAAATCTGTAGCTCATAGAAAGGTGAAATCTTTACCTTTAAGGGGCAACCAAAAGCACTTAAAGAGATTAGGAAATTTCCATCAGCCATTTTTTAAGTTCAGTAGCAGGGAGTGCAATTATTAGGGCAAGAAATTCCCTAAAAGCTTAAAAAGGCACTAGAAATGACTCCCCAGCTGTCCATTTCAATAAGAATCACCACCTACAAATGAGCTAGTTTTTGACAACAGTATGCTTAAAGTAGGTTGAAAATAGGTCTGACTAAAAATTAGGAACACAGATGCTTTCAAGAGGATGTATTTTAAAGAAAAGAATTTATTATTCAGCAATTACAATTAGTCTTTTTCTACATAATTTGTGAATTTTTCAACATCAAATATTTGTATCATTTGCTTCTGTTCATGTTTTCTTGACCAATTCTTCATTGTTCCTTCTAACATGTTGCATTCTATACCTCCAAAAAAAGAAAAAACAAATCAGCAGTGAAAATCAGTAACTTCGATACAAGTGCTCCTTCAAAAATTAATGCTGGGGCTGGGAATTTAGTTCAGTGGTTTGGGTGCCTGCCTTGCAAACACAAGATCCCGAGTTCGATCCCCAGTACCAAAAAAAAAAAAAAAAAATTAATGCTGAGAAAAGAAAACCATAACCCAGAAATGCAAAGGCAATTTCAAAAGGAATTGGTTCCAGCCCTATGGAGTTTATCAGATAGTTCTGAACCATTAGCAGATGTGGTTGGTTGAGAAGTCATAATCACTTACATGAGGCAGTGATGTATTTTTAACTGCCACCAGAGGACTTATGCATTCATTTGCAGCTACCTATAGGCTGAAGAGAAATATTTCACTCATTTCAATAAAAAATTGCTTTATATTCAGTAATTGACATCATCATTAAAAGACTACTGGCATCTCAGTCTTAACATGATTTCTTCAAAGAAACCCTCTGCTGGGTAAACGGCAAAAATTTAAGTCATCATTGTGCCAGCTATAGCTTATCTATGTTAATATATTACAGATTTTGGCTACTGCCCTTTATTGAGAAGGGAGGGAGGAGGCAGACTATGTACATAGTACCTTGTTACATGCAATTGTAGTAATAATTTTCTTCAGTCATCTTCTATGACAAGTTTTTGAAAAACATTCGTTCACAACCTTCATATATCTTCAAAATGCACAGAATTTGTTGTACCTAGAAATTAAATATTTTAATTCTTCAATTTATTTGGCATCTATAAGTGGGTGTAGTCCAGTATGAATTTCATTAGGAACCATAGACACAATCACAGTTTGCAACCTTTCAACTCTTTAATTCCATGAGTTTCTATCTAAGCTGGAAATGTGAGTCATTATTAAGAGTAGGAAAAATGGTGGAAACATTTTATCATATCCTTCCCTGAGGCAGTATTGATTTTAAGACACAATGGTTCTATGAACGCCAAGCCATGTCTTTTTCTGTCTCAGTTTGACAGGGATGAACTATTAGCCATGTTAAAGGTTAGGAGTATAAAAACCATGCAGACTTTCACCAAAAAGATTAAGTGGCAGATCTAGCAGCTTTAGAGAAAGGATACTTCATGTTAGCAAGTTGACTTAAAACACTAAGTACTACAAAGGAGATGGCCAGGGTCACAAATCATGTCCTAGAGTATCCCAGGAGGATAAATCACTGAACCAGACAGCTACTGCAAATGATTTATGAACACATATAAAGCTGAGCCTTGCACAACAATTTATCACTTTCATGCCTTGAAATACTGAAGTTATTTCACAATCAATAATAGGAATACAGAACACAAAATATTGGAAGTGAATAACTCCAATCTGAATAAAACTCAGTTTAAGTTCACAAGAGGTAAACAATATATACATTTAAAACTTAAGAAAATGAATGTTTAGAGATGTATATGTATGGACACACAATTCCAGATAATACCTCTGAATGGGGTAGGAGAATGAGACAGAGAACAGACATTATAGTATTGTTAATATAGCAGATATAAATTAGTGGGCCTTTTCGCATTTACTATGTTTCAGGATGTTCGTGCACTGCCAATATTTTTTTTATAAAACTTATTTCCACGGGTACTGAGGATTTAACCAGGCCCTTAGTTCTGTGCTACTTTTCCAGCTCACATTTTTTTTGAGACTGGGTCTCAGTTCCCCAAGAAGAGCTTGAATTTGAATCCTTCCGCCTCCCAGAGTACTGGGATTACAGGCTCGCAAAAAACATTTAGTTTTAAACATGATTTGTTTTTAAACAGGTAACATTTTCTCCGCCTCCCAGCTGTTGTGTATTTTCTTTTCTGCAGAGTACTAGGGAAACCCCCAGCGGTTTCTTCTATCCAGAAATACACATTTCCATATAAGTGCAAGCACCCGGGAGTTTACTAATACGTGAATTAAGGGCCTTCTATACTTGCACTAAAAACATGACAGCTCCAAGAATAACAACGATTTCTATCGTTTAGACCGACACTGTCAGTAAACTGTACTTAAACCCCTGACGAGGTAGCGTCTCAACACCTAAGGGATAACGAACGCCCCCTTTGTAAAATCCTCCCCTAAGGTAAAATGAAACCGCTAACTTGGAGCCACCTAGGTCACAATTTTGCTGGGTAACCAAGAGGACCGCCCTCGCGGGCGGAATGGGAAGAACACGCCTCTAAACACAACGCCTATTACTAACTTCTGAGCGGTAGACAGTCGAAACCAGTGTTTACTGAGGAGGAATCAGGACTCGCAGGTGGTTTACAAAATGAGGCAAGAAAAACTAGTGGGCCGGTCCACGGGAGCTGCCAGGGCAATGATCCGAGGCCGCCGCAATGAACAGGCCGCGTCTAGCACTCAAAAGGCTAAGGAACTCAGCACGGAGGAAAAGAACTAAAGCCGTGAGAACTCTCACCTCGAAGAGCCTGGGGACCGAGCCGCAGGCGCTGCCACCGCCCTGAAGGCATAGCTAAGGTCGGCCCAAACGCCATCCACCTTCGGAGACTGCGCGGAAAAGGAAGCGCGGTGGCAGGGGTCTACGCCTTGGCGCCCCGATCGGGCCACGCCCCTTCCGGCCACTGGCCACGCCCCTCCCGGTGTATGGGCAGGGAGCTGACTACCCACAGGATGGTGTGGCCGTTTGCCCTCCTGGGTTCCCTCGCCTGCAGTGGGGGTGCTGAACGTCTGTAGAAGCGTTAAAGCCCATGAATATCATCTAGAGCTAGTACGTTGAATATGCAAATGATGAAGCTACTGGTTTGTTGTAATGCTCTATAAAAGGAAAGTACTTTTGTTTGCTTCGATTTTTACACATTCACTTATTTCAGTGTTTAGTGGTAGTGGACAAAGCCATTTAAAATAAGGGTTCTGAGATCGGCCCCTTTATGCACGCTAAAGAATCTTTCCAAAGAACCTGTTATCTTCTCTTTGTAGCTACTACCTTAACTTTTTATTGATAATAAAGTTTTTAAAAAGTATTCATAAAGCAATTGCCTACTTTGTTTATGAACATGTTATAATTATTGATTTCCATGTTTTATTACTCTTAATCATTTCTCTCAATCATTATTGAGTCCTGGCTCCAAAGTGCTAGGCTTGGTGCAAGAAAAGGTTCATTAACTTGTTGCCTGAAAGAGAACACATGAAAGCACAAAATTGAACCATTGAATCAGTAAAATATGAAGCTGAACAAGTGGATACAAAAATCGAGTATAGTATATAAGTTTTCCTCAAAGCAACATATAGTATAAAAATCTAAACCTAGCAAGACAAGTTGTTCTTATACTTTTCTCTACCTAAGTTTTTCCTGAGTGCTTTACAGGAATTAAAAAATCTTCGTTTTGGGTCACAAGAGCAAACTGTTTCTTCCATTAAGTGGCAGAATTAACCTCAGCCTATCTCATAGACACGAGGTGGTGGGCTGTTGCTTCAACAACCTAATTTTGCAGTCTGGGGAAACATCTCCGACAGGTGTGGTAAGTTGTGGTGAAGGATGAGTTTGGATGTTGAACCCATTGATACTAAGGGCATCAATTTAGGCAAGTTCTTGGTGCCACTGAGTCCTGGACCATTTGTGAAAGAACTGGAGACAAACATGGTCCCATGTTCTTCCTCAGCCGCCCTTCTTACAGGATAGCTCCTGAGTTGCTACAGCTTTGTGTTGCTGCCTCCTAGGGATGCTCTCAGGGCACTTGTCAGTCTCTATTGCCAGAGATAACTGAGCTGAGTGGATAAATATGGAAGAGGCTGCTGCTTTAATGACTTAGTACGTTCTTTCTTAAGCTGAATTCAATTAAATATGACTAAAATATTTGACTTAAATATGACTAAAATATGACTAAAAATTTGTATTTGTAAAACTGCAAGTGCCCATTTTCAGGTTATCATCTTAGGTCATTTAAAATTGATTAGTAATATCATTAAATAAATGTCTGTTTCCACTGCGAGTAACAAAATACTTGACTAAAGAGGCTTTTTTGTTTTTGTTTTTGGTACTGGGGATTGAACTCAGGTCCTTGCACTTTTGAGGCAGGCAGTGGAACCACTGAGCTAAATCCCTGGCCCCTAAAGAGGCTTTTTTTAAAATGAAAAGTATATTATTTTATATTACAAGAAATCTAGAGATATTAACCAACTCTAAGGTTAGTTAATTCAGCAGTGCAACATTGCCAGGGTTTCAGGTTAAGTTCTCCGAGACTCCCACTTTTCCCTTTCTACTTGTAAAAAAGGCTCTCATAGCTGTAAACATCACATCTTTATATACCAAATTGCAAATGTGGGAAGGTAGGACATTTCTTTTCATATGTCTGTTAACTAAAGTGGAAAATCTTTCACAGAATACCCACAATAGTTTTTTATCCAGGTGCACTTACCCATGATTTAGTTACAAGTTGAGGCATTATCAGCTTATGTGGAAAGGTGAGCTCTGACAGTAAAGGGAGACAGCTTGAGGGAGGCTATCAAGAGCGCCTACTACAGGGGAGAATCTTAAGTATAGTTTGGGGTTGTGGTGAATCTCATGAACCCTCTTCTCATTAATATACAAAAAGATTACTGACTCGTAAAGAAAAATACAGGAATTGTGACAAATACTGTAATGATACAGGTTTTTGATTCAACTTCTACCTTAAAAGTTGTCACAGAAGCAAAAATAACAATGCAACTTTATTGACATACAAAAAGTGTATGTATATGAAATGAAAAATCTGGTAAGTTTTGACCATGGATATGTATATATACATGAAAACATCTCCACCTTCAAGATGACTATATTCATCATCCCATTTCCTCATTGTCCTTTGTAATAGCTTTCTCAAATCCTTCCCTTCAGCTCAACCAGGCAGCCACTTACTGTATTTGCTTTCTGTCACTATAGGTTAGATTGCTTCTCTATAATTTGTTTAAGTGGAACTATATAGTAGATATTTTTATAGCTATATTGAAGTATAATTGCTACATAAAAATCTAGCACATATTTAATATATACAATTTGATGGGTTGATATGTACTTTTTTTCCTGACTTCTTTCACTTGATTATTTTGAGATTTCATTCATGCTCTTATAATCTCACAACAGTGAATTCCTTTTTTATTATTGATTAGAAGTCCCTTAAATGGATATACAGAACCACAATTTGTTTATCTATTGGTCTGTTGATGGACCTTTGGATTGTTTCCAGTGCTTGCGTACCACAATAAAGCTGCTATGAACATTTATATAGAGAATGTCTTTCTATGGACATATGATTTTTCTCTTGGTAAATACCCAGAGGTAGAATGGCTAGATTGTATAGGGTATGTATGTTTAACTTTGTAGGAAACTTCCAAATTGTTTTTCAAAATGATTGTACCATTTCACATTTCCACCAACAGTGTCTGACAGTTTCAAATGCTTCATATTCTTGCCAACACTTGGTATGGTTAGTCTTTTTATGTTAGACATTTGAACAAGTGTATAGAGGTATTTGACTACACTTTTTTTTTTTTTGGTTCCGGGGATTGAACCCCGGTCCTTGTGCTTGCTCAGCAGGCGGCAAAACCACTGAGCTAAATCCCCGGCCCTACACTTTTAATTTATATTTTTATAATGAATAATGGGCCTCTTTTAACATGCTTACTTGCCATCTAAATATCTTTTTTGATTGTCTTAGTTTTCTTGTTGCTGGGACAAAATACCCAACCCACATGTTAAATTAGGAAAGGTTTATTTTGGCTCACGTTTTATAGAGGTTTTAGTCCAGTCAGCTGGCTCCAAGGTAAGATGGCATGGCAGAGGGGCATCACAGAAGAGAAACAATCCACGGCAGACCAAGGAGGAGGCAGCAAGCAGTGAGCCTGCCTTCCGTCTTTTCCCCTTATGAGTCCATCCGTGCTACAGACCTATTGATTGGTGCCACCCACACCCGGGGTGGGGCTTCTCATTACTTAAACCCAGAACAATGCTAAACCAATCAGTGAACTAATCCAATTATCACACCTTTAATCTATATTCACACGCCCTTCATCCACATTCACACACCTTAGATCCAGCCACTTCCAAAAAGCCCCACCTATGCGCACATGAGGTTTTGAGGAGATATCCAGATACAAGCCGTAACACTGATGAAAGAAATGTCTATTCAAATTCTTTGCCTCTTTGAAAAAGTATTTGCTGATTTATAATTAAGTTTTAAGAGTTCTCTATATATTTGAGATACAGGATTTTTAAAATGAGATATAATTTGCAAATATATTCTTCCCATATATACTTTGTCTTTTCATTCTTTTAACAATATGTCTCAAAGAGAAATTCCTTATTTTGATAAAGGCCAATTTATCTGTTTTCTTCTTATGTGCATTTTATTTTGATGTTATATCTAAGAAACTACCTACTTCACACTTCTTGAAAATCTATGTTTTAAAAAAAGCAATTGGCAATTCAGTTATCCATTGATAGAATAAATACACTCTGTTAGCTATTTAAGCCTCATATTGAATCTCTTAGTAGCTATGTTCATATGGATTACATCGTGAATTTTTTTTAAAGAAGTACAATTGTTTTAATTATAGCAAATATGACCCTAAATATATGTCAAATTATAAAGAATGCATGTTCATACAGAATCTACTAATAAAAAATAAACTTTTGCAAAATCACTTGATAGAATGCCATTATGCAAAAATTTATTTTTTCTCTGTATATGATTAAATCTCATGGGTTATGTCATGAATTTTGCCCAAATTCGTTAAGTTCCTCTTATGTTTTGGATTTTAAATGTGCCCCCAAAGCTCATATGCTGAAGGGTTGGTCCACAGCTGATAATGCTCTGGGAGGTGGTAGGAACTTTAGGAGGCGGGGCTTAGTTAAAGTTAGATCACCGGGGTACACGCTTGAAGATGTTGGGACGCCCACTCTTCTCCCTGCTTCCTGGCTGCTGTGAGGTACGCAGTCGTTCTGTCGCACATATTTCCGCCATGATGTTCTGCCTTACCACAGGCGCAAGTGATGGGATCAAGCAATCATGGACCAAAACCTCTGAAAGTGTGAGCCAAAATGATCTTTCCTTTTTTTTTTCACTTTATTAAATTCTTTTATTGGTACATTGTAGATATACAACACAATTGCATTTCTCATTGGGAATTGTACCTTTATATAATGCATCTTGGTTCTTATTTTTTCCCCATTCCTATCCCTCCCTTCACCCCCTCCA